ATGGGGCTGCTTTTATACAGCGGAGACAAGGAGGAACACATGTGGAACCCTGGTGATCTACTTGGGTGCCAGTTGGTATTTCTTTGCCCAATAGGAACTGTGAATGAACACATGCAGAAACCCTGGAGGAAGAAGAGCATAATGACCAAAGTTTAAGACCCCTTAGGAATGAATATTTAGCTTGTATGACCAAGTAAGTCAACAAGAGCTGCAGAGATCATATCTGAGAGACGGGGTATGGAGCGCATAGTGGAAGACAGAATAAGTACCAGAATAGCCCCAAATTGCAATGACAGAGACTATAGTTTGCCCCATAAATCTCCACTTTCTAAGTTTACCCTTAGCAAGAGGGGTTCATAGGAATCGGCGAGGAGCATTATTATGAGCTGACAGTTTCCAGCTGAAGCACTTTGGGATCCACCGCCGAGTTTGCACCAGGCCAAGCTTTTCCTGCACTGCTCTCAGACAATGATGGAGCCCAGTAGAAGTACTCGAACTGGGCTGTTCTTGAAATTTGGATTCTTCTAATGGACAACTTTAGCTCAGGACTCCCTGTTGGTCTGGTTGAGACTCTCAGAATCACTCTGCAACCTGGGAGTTTTTCCTGTCTGCTTTCCCAGATTCTAATGGGAATCTAATCTGCCTCTCTTTCCTCTCCTTTGATCCTTTTTTTTTTTAAATCTTAGAGTATGAGAGAGAGAAAGAGTAACATCAATATGAGAAACAGATTGGCTGCCTCGCTCACCTGCCCTGACCCAGGATCAAACCCGCCACCTTTTGGTGTACAAGATGATGCCCCAACCAATTGAGCCATACCAGCCAGGGCTCCTTTTATCCCTTAAAGGCATTTTCCCTAATCAATCTCTTGCCCATCTAACCCTTTCTTGGTGTTTGCTTCTCAATGGATTGTAACTGACAGTTGTTTTAGAATTTCAGCAAAAGAAAATGATACCCACATCCACATAAGATTATTAGTTCCTCAAAGGGAAAAGTTAGAATATAATTTAACCTTTAGTTTCTAAGAGAACTATTTCTGGGGTCAAGAACTGCTCTGAGCCCAGCTAGTGCTGCTCAGTGGTTGAGCCTCGACCCATGCAACAAGAGGTCGCCAGTTTGATTCCCAGTCAGGGAACATGCCCAGGTTGTGGGCCAAATCCCTGGTGAAGGCCATGCAGGAGGCGGCCAACCGACATTCTCTCTCATCGATGTTTCTCTCTCTCTCTCGCTCTCCCTCTTAAAATCAATTTTTTTTAAAAAAAATTGCTTTGATTTTGTTCAGTCAGCTATTTTTAAAACGCCTTAAAAAATACGTATGAATCTAAGAATAAATCTGGTGGCTGGGTTAAGACCAATCTGATACATGTCGATTTCAGAACTGCAAATCGGTCTATTAAGCTGGAAATACACTACTTGTATTCTGGCCCTGATGGTCCACTCAAGCACAGAGCCTATGTATGGCAACTCTGAGAGCAAGGTGCTAGTGTGAGGAATCATGACATGTTTTAAGAAGACACAACACATGTAGTAGTGTTACATTAGGCAACCAGAAAAATTTATTAAGTAACAGAATTCAGAGTGAATGCTTCCAACAGAAGAGGAGAGATGGTGAGAGAAACAATCTTTTAAAAGGGCGAGGGGGACTAGAGAAGAGATGCTTAATAAAAAGTTAATCAAGGCATTAGGCTGAGTCCGGAGGAGAGCAACACCATCAAGCCAAAGACAGGGTGCCTTTGGAGAATAGTCTCAACGTGTTTAACTCCAGGATATACATACTATATTTGTTGAGAATGTCTTAAAATAAAGCTTATAAAGCCTAGTTGCCAGAGAGAAACAGAAAACATCATCATCTTAAGGATGTCATTTTAGGAAAAGATTCTTAGTATTTCCTCTCTCCAGCCCCTCCTGGAAAGTGGCAAGAAAAAGATATCTATCCCCTGGTGGAAAATGTAGAGGAAGATTTGAGGGGTGTTCTAAATCTATTTCATTAAAATCACTCACCATGTTAATTATTTCTAATTCACATAATCTCCTGAAAAATGATGGCAAACATAGCCAGAGTAACTTTCCTGGTGCTGAAGTGCCTGTTTGGTTTTCTATGACCCTGAATAACCTAGCATCATCCTGTCCATCCAATCTACTTCCCCTCTCTTCAATATACCCTCACCACTTGTCAGACTGGTCTTACTGGGGCTCAGCACACCACCCTCATTTCTATGCAGGGGAGGAAAAATTCTCCTGTACTCTCTTAGGGTATCTAGCTGGGTATAATTATACTGACATAAGACAGATTCACAGGCAAAAGCATAGAAGTTCTATGAAAAATTTCTTACATGTACATAGGAGCCTTAACAAGAGAATAAAGACCCCCCTCCAAAACAGGTGGCAAAACATACATGCTTTTAATGTAGGTTGAACAAAGAGAAGCAGTTGTGGAAAAGTAACTAAGCTATGTGGAGAGGTTAAAAGAGTTATTTTAACAAGTTCTATTTGTACAGATTTCTTCCCTTTCCGTCTCAGTTCCCCGATGCTCTGTCTCTGGCGATAAGAATGTCTTCTTTCCTCCAGGGACAGGGAGGGCACCTTTTACATGGGAATTTTATCTCCTGCTTTTAGGAATAAAAGAGGGTCAGAGTTTCTTCTTGCATCTGCTGTTTCTCAAGTGACTATAAGTTAAAATAATGAATATGCCAAAGCAGTAGATTTTGAGGAAATGCTGTGAACTCCTTCACACGTCTGTTACCTTTACTTATAAGGTCCACCTGTTCCTCCTATTCATTTCTGCCAATTTCTCAAGTTCTGCCCTTATTCTAGCATTTACCATGTCAATTCACCTCATGGGGCTCTTTCCATATGCATTACATACTTGTTACTTTCAAAATATGCCCTCATGTATTGTAAATTTTTATTAAATATATTTGTCTTATCTCCCCAAATAGACTGCAAACTCCTTAAATGCTTGACTCATTTGGTAAATATCCACAATTGAAGAATTTAAAAACTGCATGGTTTTAGATGTTGAAACTGGTACGCAGACTGTCAGTCTCCACTCCAGTCACCCCATGCTAAGGTATCAGAGTTAACGAGAACATTATAGTATAATAAAATTCAATGCTTACTATATATTAGGCTTGATTCTAAGTTCCTCACATATATTCATTTATTTAGTTCATGACACTGGCACTATCCTTCAAGGCTTTCTTTTTCTCAAGTCCCCTATCTAATTCATCCAGTTTTATTGGCTCTACCTTCAAAATAGGGCTGGAATCCTCCCACTTTTCATTAAATTCACTAGTACCATTCTGGCTCCAGGCTCCATTATTTCTCTCCTGGGTCACTGCAATAGCTTCCTAATAGTTGTATTCTCAAAGACAGCACAGTATAATCCTTTCAGTTTTAAGTCATATACCTCTGTTCAAAACCCTGCAATGGCCACCCACTTCAAAGTAAAAGATAAAGTCCTTTATGGCCTATAAGACCCAATATAATCTTCTTCCACTCTCCATTACTGGACCCTCATCTCCCACTCCTCTTGGCCTTGCTCACTCTGTGCTCCAGCCACAATGACTGGCCTTGTTCTTCCACAAAAACACAATGCACTGTAGGGATTCAAAATAAGTCACCCCTAGATATGCTCTGTGTTATGCAGATTATTTTGAGCTAAAGGCAACCAAGATCCGATGGACTCAAAAGAAACTTCTGCACAGCCCCCTTTAACTATGAGAAGAATTTTAATTAAGGTCCTTGCCTATAATGAAATTATCAGAGATAACCTTTTCTGACCTATCTATGTGTCAAGGTAAATGCCTAATTATCGAACATCTGCTGTTATCGTACTGCAATGACCCTCCTGAAGCCCCAAGGTGCCTTGCTTCATCCTTAGCTCAGGACACCATATATACTTCATTTTTCTTTCTGTCTCCAATTCCCTCATGTATGTGGTGTCTCCTTATATTGGCATGTAATTAAATTTATTTTCTCTTGTTAAGGTCTCACAAAGATTTACTTATTAAACCCTAAAAAAAAAAAAAAAAAAATGAAAGAGGGTAGAGGAAAGTTTCTTCCTCCCCCATAGCACCTAGGGTCTTGGCTCTAGTTTTTTCCTTCTGTGTAGAGCACATCCCGTTTTACAGCTAACTCTCCTCCTTAAGTTGGTTCAACTTTTGCCATATTAGTAAGTCTCACCTTAATGCTCTATTTAATTCTGCAACTTGCCCTTCCACCTCCTTCCTGATGCCTCTCAATCTCTATTTTTTTTTATAGCTCTTACCACTTTTTAACATACCATATAATTTTTTAGCTGTATATTGTCTGCTCTCCCTACCTCCATATAAACTCCATGAGGGGAGAGCTTTATGCATGGATGACCCCAAGAGCCTAAAACAGTGGCTGGCACATGAAAGGAAATAAATAAGTACTCAGTAAATGAATTTAGAGGCTAGATTTTCTTCCTTCAAGGCCGCTGCACTTTGGTGATGAGCCTTAACTGGCTTCTCAGCTTTCATATTACTAAAGGACCCAAACCACATGGAAACGAGAGGTCTCGAGACTAGCTCCAGATTTAAGTTTGGAAGGCAGAGGAGCTACAAGCTAAAAAATCTAAAGGGTGCAGGTCGTTTCTTGGGGGTGGCTGATGAAGTAAGGCAAACTTTCTCTCCCTCTGAACATCCACAAGTGCTTCAACTCGCAGCACAAGTGACTTTGAACATCTCGTACCTAAAAAAACCCATCACCCCGGTGCTCGGCCTCTGCAACGCGGATGTTGCCCTTTTCCTGGCAGCTTCAGTGCCCTTACTTAGGTGGTTAGGCTGTGCCTAAACATCACGATTTCTGGGCCGGGATGTCCCTGGCTAGAGACAAAGCGCCAATGCGGCCCGTCGCCCCGCCAGGTGTCCCGCAGGCAGCCGCAGGGGCCGCACCGCCGGTGCGCGGACAGGCAGAGGAGCGAACACCCGGCTGAGGCCCGCGGCGCGGCAACCTGGGCGCGGCTGGGATGACGTCACGATCCCGCCCGCCGCACGCACGCGCACTGCGCCCAGCATGAGGGTCGCAGCTCTGATCAGGTAACGTGGCGCTGCTGCCACCTTCTTCCTCCCCTGGCGGTCCGCAGTCCCTTTCTGTTAATGGGCGTGAAGTGCCGCTGCCGCCGCTTTTGGCGGCGAAAGGAGGCCGTCGGTGCAGAAGCCGCGTGTCCGGGTTCAGGCGAATCCTCCCCGCCACCGGAAGAGGCGGGGCCTTCGGGCCGAGGCCCGGCCCGGCTGGTCCCGCCGGTTTGGGCTCGCGCCCTTCCTCCCTGCGGGTCGCCGCCCCTTTGTTCTCCTATCCCTCAAGCTGTGGAGTCACCTGGGGCGTTTTGAAAACTACCGGTGCTCCGGTCGTCTCACGGCCAGAGCGCTGGTCAGATTAGCTTGACGCGGCCCGGGTTCGGATCCCTAAAAGCTGTAATTGATGGGAAGTTTGCGGGCGGGTGCTTGACTACTTGATCAGTTAGCCACCCAGCCCGCTTCTTCTGGCTTGCTTCGTCCTCGTCTGTATAAACCTTCAGGCTTTCAGGCCTGTCCTCCGAGTGCAACCTTCCACCCTGGGCTGTTTATGTCCCGCCCCTTCCCACAGGAGTCCACCTCGCCCTCACCTGCCTCCCAGGTGTGACTTACGACATGGATGTATTTTACCTAGGCGCTCAAGGACAGAGATGGAATTATACCATTTTTTAATTGTTTTATTTTTATTTTTTATTGTTGACAGTATTACAGAGGTCTCCTACCCCCTTTGTTGCCCCCCTCCACCAAGCCCCCACCCCACTCCAGGGCTTTACCACACTATTGTCTGTGTCCATGGGCCCCCACCTCAGATCTGGTTGCTGTACTTCAGACACACATTGTTTGCTTTTAGAGTGACCTTATGGTAACACTTAATATATTCGAAAAGGAGTTTGAAATTTATGGTAACCCATCATATTTAAATGTCTAAAAGTAGGTCCTATGACAACCAAGGACAGGCCAGTTAAAATGTTTCCATACTCCTGTAAACTGAAGCAAAAGGAAACAATAACAGTATTAAAAAGAGGAATTTAGGCTGCTTGAATTTTGTTTGATAAGATTTGGATTTCTATATAGTGTCTGAGCTACATTACAACAATGTATTTCCTTTGTAAACCCACTGAAAATTTCATGTTATTGTTCAATGCCCTAGGTAGTTGCTACTGACTTATGAAGGTCTTTACATAACACTAACCCCTTCTGGAGTGACTAGAATATTCCAGTTTCTTTTATTTCAATTCCATTTTAGAAAATTATAATGTCAAAAAAGTATTGTTACTCAGTGAATTTCTTCTTCTGTAAAGTGAATGCTTAAGCTTTGACCATTGTGGTCTTCATTTGATCTAGATCGACAAAAATTAAAAGTAGTCCAGGAAATGTGTAATTCACATCCATATGCAGTTTGCCAAAGTTTAACCATTGAAGAAACTGAAGACTCGGAAATCTGGGAGAGGAGAGAAGATGGGTGTATTCCATTACATCGAATATTTTGTAATGTGCATACATTACTTTCATAATAAAAAAGCAAAGTACAAAAGGCATTGTTGGAAAATTCTTGCTACACTGTGAGATCTGCATAAATGTTAGATAACTATAGGTATGAATACGTAACTCTACATATACATAAATATGAATACACAGATAAAAACCTATATATGCATTTATGTGCAGATACACTTGAATATGTACAGAGTTAATATGTGTGTGTGTGTGTGTGTGTGTGTGTGTGTGTGTGTATTGTGTGTTTGTGGTAAAATGAGAGATAGGATATGTGTGTGTTTTAGGAAATAAGTGAAACAAAGATTCTTACATATCTTTAGACCATAAAGAACATTAATTTCCTAATACATAAAATTTACGCTCATTGAATTTTATGGTTGAATGACACCTTGAGGATTAGCTAGGCCATTCTCTAATTTTATAATTAAAATGTAAACACAAACATATGAGTAATTTAGCTTAGTATCCAAGAGTTGGAAACTAAAATTCTGATCTTTTGTTGGAATTCTTACATAACATATTCTAACGTACTTTGTGACTTTTCAGTGGGTAAGATGCTCTGTATTTCCCAAACTTATTTGACCTAGAAAAGAGTTGTTCTTACAGTATTTGTTGGACGGTAGTGTTCCACAGGACACAATTTTGGAAATACTATTAAAACCATGTTTGAAAGCTTAGCATTTTACAGTAAATTATAAGGCTAAGTACTGATTGAGAATGTTTATCCTTTAATCTTTAATATTGTAAGGAATTAGTATTGTGGGGATATACCCTTTAATCTTAACTATTCTATATATTCTAAAGAATTAGATAATTTTGTCCTACGGAAATAGAAGTTCAATAGGGAAGATGGATTTATGGGAATATCAGAATCGGAGGAAAGGATTTCTGACTTCAGTTTTCCCCTTACAATCTCTCCCCTTGAAAAGTTCTGGAATAACAGTTGTTTCTGATCAGAATGCGGTAGAGCCAGACAAATATTGGAAATTAAAAAGGCAAAAGGGCCAGTTTCCAGAATAAAAAGTCTCTTTGAATTTCTTGGGCTATAAATAGATCTAAACATTACAGGGAGCAGGGGCGGTTACATTTGCAGATCTTAAGCAAAAATTGAAAAGAAGAGAAATGGGAGGGGCAAAAAAAAAGGGGGTGGGGAAGAGAGGCAAGAAACAGGTATAGTGAGAAACAGTAGAGTATGAGACCCACATAGCATAGAGTTTGCCATTCAACCTTATTACAGAGGAAGTGCCACTTGTCTTGACTAAGCCTCTACCTTAGGTAAATTTGGTACCAGAATTTAGAAGTTCTTTGTAATGTGTTAATTAGATTTGTGCTCAAGCCTTATTCTGCCATCATATAGTGATGGCATAATTGGTATAATTTAGCATTTCGCTTTCTGTCTCTACAGAGTTTGAACCCGACAAGTATGTCATAGTTTGTCATTAGAGTGGATCTCAGATATTTAATTTGATCCTTTAATTGGTGATGGAGGCCAGTAGTTAGATTTCTTACAGTGAACAGATGTTTTTCTACTTTTTCATAGATAATTTCATATAAAGAATATATGTAATAAGTGTTTAGCTGGAATATAAACAAATCATGTTATTTACAAAGCACTTTGTATATTAAGTGAAGCTATTATCACAAACCAAAGAGTTATTATATTTTGTTTACAGTGGTCTTTGTTATAATGGCATATAATTTCATAAGTTCTTGTATCTACCTTAGCCATTCAGATTGGTTTTCTCAGTTAGCTTATTCTAAGGAAATTGCATGTGGAATTCTGCATTCTAAATGTAAGGTAGTCCCTCAGATTCTGAAGAGAGCTGAATAAATAATTTGTTCTATTTTGATATCTGTTGATTCTATGTTGAATAGTAGTCAGTGACCTGATATTTGTCTCTCTATTTTTTAGTGGTGGGAAGGACAGCTGTTACAATATGATGCAGTGCATTGCTGCTGGGCACCAGATTGTTGCTTTAGCAAATCTAAGACCAGCTGAAAACCAAAGTAAGTGTATACCTTTATTGGAAATTTTCTAAGTGACTGAAAATCTAACTTCATTATTATATTCTATGGTATACAGTATGCAAAAACATAAAAGGAACGAATATATCTTTAGTACTTATTAGATGCTAAGTTCAATGCTAAGTGTTTTAAATTGCATATTCTTTAATCCTCACAAGAACTCTTAGAGTTTATTCGACAGGTATACTGAGGCTCACAGTTTTATAAATTTGTCCAGGGGAAAATGGCTAGAGCAAGCTTGCAGAGCTGAGACTTGAACCCTCTTATTTCACCCTGCCCTTCCACTACAACACATTCCCAAGTGTTGCAGGGAATAAACAGATAATAAGATAGAGCCTCTGATAAGGTATGAATTTTGTTACTAAAAAGATCCATTTTAGCCCTCCCCGGTTTTGCTCAGCGGTTAGAGCATTGGCCTGTGGTCCTGCGAGACCCGGGCTCAGTTCCCACTAAGGGCATGTACCTCAGTTGCAGTTTGTCCCTGGCCCTGGTTGGGTTGTGTGGGTGGCAGCCACTTGATGTGTCTCTTTCACATCGATGTTTCTCTCTCTCTCTCTCCCTCCCACTCTATCTGAACAAAAAATGGAAAAATGTCCTCAGGTGAGGATTAAAAAAAAAAGGATCCATTTTAGCCACCTTAGATGTAAGCTGCATGTGTGAGACTTGATAGAGATATTAAGTAATACATTTCAACTTTTTATTTGTCTGCGATAACAAGGACATCCGTAAGGAATCCACAAACTTCATTTTAGCTACTTTTTTTAGATTACTACCAATGAAATTTTCCCAATAAGAACTTTTTTTCCTCTGTGTCCATATGTGTGTCTAAATTTCCTCTTTTAATATACCAGTTATATTTGATTAAGGGTCTACCCTAATGACCTCATCTTAACTAATTACATCTGCAAAGACCCTATATCCAAATAAGGTCACATTTTGAGGTACTGGATGTTTGAGGTACTAGGACTTCAAAATAAGGATTTAGGAGGGATCCATTCATCCTCAACACTATCTTTTGTTAATTGAGATATAATTGACATATTACATTGTAGTTTTAGGTGTACAACATAATGATTTAGCATATGTATATTTGTGAAGTGATTACCACAAGTTTAGTTAACATCCATCACCACATGGGTATAATTATTTATCCCAATTAAAACTTGAAAAAAGAAAAATATTCACCAATTTTTTATACTCTTGTATTATACCCATATAACTATAGATATTAATTGCTAAAATGTAATAGGGAAAGATTAATACTTGTCTAGACGTTTATTTGTTACTACTGCTCATACTTCTGGTAAAATCTTTTCATCATTCACTTTACTCACCGCTTTTAAGATTAAACTTTTGCTGTACTGTTGTTTTAGGGTGAATTAAATGAGAGTATATATGAAAATGCTACCCATTGTTCCTGGCAAGAAGTAGGCATACAGTAAATGTAGTTGAATCTGAAGCTAGCTCTAAATTAATCAGTCCTTCCTCCTCCCCGCCTTCCTTTTTTCTTCAGGGCTGTCAGTCTATCGAATTTTTGTTTTTATAGCATTTTACAGTTGTTTTCTATTTATTTTATCTTTTTATTTTACCCCCCAAATAGATTGCTTATAAGCTTCCTCAGAGGAAAGGTCATATATTCTATATTCCTTTAATTGTTCCTCAGCACTTGGGTCAGCTCTGTGCCTCTGGAAGGCATTCACTCAGTTTATTGGTGGACAGATAAATAATAAACTAACTAGAATTAACCCTGGAATAGCCAGTAGTTATTTGTCAGATAATTGAATTTTCTTTCCTTCTGTGATGAAGACCCAAGTAATGCTGAAAGTGAACTGAGAAGATGGAAATTAAAGATATTTTATAGGAAGAAACAGAAGAGGCTCTATAGAGGGCCATGGTAAACATAAGGTGTCGGACTGGGGTTCTGATGATGAATGATAATAGCTTTTTAGAAGTGAGCTGTTTTGAAAATAACCTCCTATTTCTGTACTTTAAATAATAAAGAGAAGACTCTAAGGGTGAGTGGGAACTACATTGTAACTTCTGTATTACAAAAGAAACAGATTATTGTTTTAAAGCTAGGTTCTGTTACCAAAAGGAAAGAGACTCCTTTATCCCTGGTGGTCAATCAGGCAAGTGGGTTTTTTAAACTTTCTATCTTGAGAGGTCTTGTTATTTTAAAAAAGTAGATATTTATGTAACATAATACATACTTGATATAACATATTCCTGATTGCCCTCCCTGGAGTTTCTGTCTTATCTTCAGTTTTTCTGTGTGAATTGTTATAGTACCTCGTACTGAATCATTACTGTATAACCTTCCATGGGTTAATGGTTCACTGGCAGGATGGGTAAGATGACAAGCAAAGTACATCTTTATAGTTCACAATGGAATGGAGACATTTATTTAGAATATTGTTAGTGAGAAAGAAGTCATTGGAATGTTGTGAAGTAAAAGTTGGAAATAGTCAGCTGAAACAGTAATTGTAGTGGGAGAATAGATGGCAGGGGCCGGGAGATGGAGAGGGTTTAGCTAATCTTGATTTAAAGTCAGCAGGAAGTTGGTGATTAAATGATTCATTGATTGATTTCTTTTCTGCCCAAACATGTTGCAAAATGAACCTTAATGAGGAATGACTGGTAGAGATGACTCCAGTGTAAAAAGTTGGTTAGAGTGAATTCATAGTCCTGAGTTTTCAATAGGTTGTCTGGAAAGGAATGTATCCCCACCAGTGGGGATAATTTGAAGTTGTCATAGAATTCAAAAAACAAACTCTTTAAATTTGTAGTAGGAACTTTTGTGGCATGTTAATTGAGGTGCTTCAGGCAATGGTGGAGCCTTTTGGTTTTACTTGATTTCATACCATTGTTTCCTTAATAAAAGTTACAGTGTGGTTAGGACTTAATGGAGCCTTTAAGGGAAAGAGTTGTCTAGGTTTTTGAAGTCAGTAAAATGTTTTAATTATTGTGCTAACATCGGGAAGTTTCTTGCTAAGAAGCTCAAAGTTCTTTAGATATATTAATTTTATTATATCAGTATTTTTTTAAAACTAATACATTTAAAGTCTAAGTTTGTGATAAAGGTAGGCTGAAAATTTCTTAGGTAGCTTTGGCTGTATCTCTATTCCCTACTGGGACCAGGAGTAGATGGATTTATAATAATCGTATGAGGGTGGGTCCCAATCTGAGTGTGGGTCCAGAAAACTGGTGAGCCAAAATGTGATAGCAGGTGGTTGATGATTTTGATAATTGAAGGGGCCCTTCCTTACACTCTCGTTTTCATGCTTTTTGATAGGCTATTTTCACATTCAGTGGAAAGCCTGGACCTGCTTGGCTTATATGCATACATACCCAAATACATCTGTATATGCCAAACAAATTGTTTTATAATCTTTTCTTTTCTTTTCTTTTTTTTAACTTAACATGTTTTGAACCACTTTCATGCCATTAAGTATTATTTTACCATGGCATTTCCTAGATATCTTCTTTGGAATACAAGGACTACATGGAATGTAAGTGTTCCGTAAATAGATAAATTTGTGAGAGTTCATACTTTGTCCCTTTAGTGGAGCAACTTAAACACAATACCTAGGAAGAATTGCAGAAAATACACTTATTTAACATGGTTTAGCTCCAATTTTGGTTGTTGTTAATCCTCACCCAAGGATATATTTTATTGATTTTTTTAGATAGAGTGAAAGGGAGGGAGGAGGGAAGAGAGGGAGAGAGAGACATCAGTGTGAGAGAGACACATTGATTGATTGCCTCCTGCACTACCTGGACCAGGGTAGGGGATTGAACTTGCAACCCAGGTTTTCGCCCTTGACCAGGAATCAAAACTAACACCCTTTTGTCTGAGAGCCGATGTTCCAAACGCTAGCCAAACTGGCTAGCGCTTTAGCTCCATTTTTAAAAAACTTATTTGACCATGGAATCCTTTTTTTCATTAATACCTATTAATATGTTTGGTTATTTCTTTTCTGCAAGAATATACTTTAGAAAAAGTTCTTCAAATTATATTGGTGGCTACATCTTCTTTCATGAATATAGTATAATTTTCAATCTATTATAAATAATACTGTGATGAATATCCTTGCAAATACTCTTTGTGTATAGTCATGATTATTTTTTTCTGAAAAGTAAAATTATGAAATCACAAGGTCTATTGCAATATATTTCTAAATTCATTTACATCACCAATGATTCTGATGTGACTCATTCGTTTTGAATATTTTACCCATATATTAATGTTTGTGGAATCTTGTGACAATCTGTGATTGTGTTACTAATTAGCTTAAGTTATGTTTCTATACACTTTTGTAACTGCTTTAAAAATATTGATTTACCTGGTCCCAGTTGGGGTCATGTGGGTGGTGACCATTCGATGTGTTTCTCTCATGTCAATATTTCTCTCTCTCTCTTTCTCCCTCTCTCCCTCCTGCTCTATCTGAAAAAAAAAAAGAATTTATATATGTTTGTTGAAGTGTTGAATATAAAACATAGCAAGAGCATCTAAATTCTTTTACGAACTTTTGTCACTTGTTAACTAAGTAGATATTTAATTAAGAAAGGTGTCCTGCCCCAACTCAATGACTTTATGAATAACCTTGAATGAATTTAAAACACATTTATGTAATAAAATCTTTACATGAATAATTAAAATTTATTTAATAGATTTATCTTTAAACATTTGTTATATATAGTATTGAAAATTTAGATATAATTGTATTTATAATTAGCAGTAGAGGTGACTAGAGTTGATGTCAACAGGATGTAACTAAGGATAAATGTGCAGCTCATTTTATTTCACTTCATGAATGCAGAGATACAGTATAGTAAGCTTTTAAGTTATGTGTTAAACTGCTTTCTAAGCAGTAGAACCTCGATGGACTTTTAAATCCACTTTTTTTCACCCTTTTTATACTGATTATTTCCACTTTAATTGTTACAGTGAAGTCAGACGAGCTGGATAGCTACATGTATCAGACGGTGGGTCATCATGCCATTGATTTGTATGCAGAAGCAATGGCTCTTCCCCTCTATCGCCGCACCATCAGAGGAAAGAGTGTGGACACAGGACGAGTGTACACCGAATGTGAAGGTGATGAGGTTGAAGATCTCTATGAGCTTTTGAAACTTGTTAAGGTATGCAGAGTGACCAATTACGTTTACTGAATTTAATGTGTAATTTATGAAATTACATTTATTGACTTATTTAGTAATAATTTGTAACTGCTAGTAGCCCAACTATTCTATGAAAGGATATTTTGTCTTTTTTCTTTATCTTTCCCCGAGGACATTTTTCTACTTTTGTTCAGGTAGAGTGGGAGGGAGAGAGAGGAAGAGAGAAAGAGAAACATTGATGTGAAAGGGACACATCAAGTGTCTGCCTCCTGCACAACCCCAACCAGGGCCAGGGATGAACGGTCAGGGACAAATCACAACCGATGTACATGCCCTTGACTGGAATCAAAACCATGTCTCATTGGTCCATGGGCGGACACTCTAACTGCTGAGCCAAACCAACCAGGGCAATTTTGTCTTTTTGAATAGAAAAGAAAATTGTGTCTAGCTGGTGTGGCTCAGTGATTGAGCGTCGACCCACGCTCAAAGAGGTCACCAGTTCAATTCCCAGTCAGGGCACATGCTCGGGTTGTGGGCCCGATCCCCTGTGGGGGACATGCAGGAGGTGGTCAGTCAGTGTTCTTTCTCATCTATGTCTCCATCTCTCTCCCTCTCCCTTCCTCTCTAAAATCAATAAAGAAAAATTATTTTAAAAAAGAAAGAAAATTGTGCCCTGGCTGGTTTGACTCAGTGGTTAGACCGTCGGCCCACTAATGGAAGAGTCATGAGTTCAGTTCCCGCTCCAAGGCATGTACCTCTGTTGAGGGTCTGATTCCCCAGCCCTCGTCAGGGTCGTGTAGAACGTAACCAATCTGTGTGTGTCTCTCTGTCTCTCTCCCCCCTCTTCCGTCTCTCCCACTGTATCTGAAAAAAATCAATGGAAAGATATCCTCAGATGAGGATTAAAAAAAAAAATTGTTACTATTCCTTTATATTAAATAGTATTTAAAAATAAAACTTTTGATGTAGTTTGGCACCCAGGATTGTCAAATGATAATTAGTGAAGTTTCTCTTTTCCTTAGGATTTTGAAGCTGATGACCTTTCAATCATTTTTTTTTTTTTTTTGCAAATACTTTTTGACTACATACTGTGTGCTTGATATATAGTTATAGGAACTAGGGAATGGGACAATGAATGGATCAGACAAAGTCTTGTTCTGCTGGAGCTTACTTTCCAGTGGAAGAAGACAGACAATAAACAAGGAAACAAATAAATAACATGCTTGGTGATGAAGAGGACTAGGAAGAGGAATGAAGCAGAGTCAGGATGATAGGAGTGGTGGCAGGGAGTGGTCAAGCAAGATCTTTCTGACATGGTGAAATGTAAATAGACCTACAGAAAGTGAGCAACTGAGCCTTGTTTAAATCTAGTAGAAGAGGTATGAATTAAATACTAAAGTTCCTGCATGTCAGATTTTGGCAGTGTTGTATATTCATTGTTAATTTCTCTACAAAATTTAGAAGAGAAAGTGGGGAGGGTGCGGCCCATTTATCTAGTAGGTACTATACTCAGTAAATGTTAATTAATGGAAATTATCTTTTCATTTTCATTGATAGCCAAGTATTTGAATACAATTCAGTATTTTTCTTTTCTTTTTTTTAAATCTTTATCCGAGGACGTTTTTTTCATTTTTTGTTCAGATAGAGTGGGAGGGAGAGAGAGGAAGAGAGAGAGAAGCATCAATGTGAAAGGGACACATCGAGTGGCTGCCTCCCACACAACCCAACCAGGGCTGGGGACAAACTGCAACCAAGGTACGTGCCCTTAGCGGGAACCGAACCCTGGTCTCTCTGGACCAGAGGCTGATGCTCAAACCACTGAGCCAAACTGGCCAGGGCACAGTATTTTTTTTTTTAATTAATTAATTTATTTTTGTTACAGGTATTTCTCCTTTTTCCGTCACTGATTCCCCTCTCCCCCTCCCTCCCCACCCTGTTCCCACCTTTGTTGTCCATGGCCATTGTTCATACATACATGCATATAAGTTCGGTGGTTTATCTCTCTCCCCCACTCCCTCTTCAGGGGATTGTTAGTCTGTACCTCACTTCCACCTCTCTGGGACTACCCCGTTCCTCAGACTGTTATGTTCATTATATTCCACAAATAAGTGAGATCATGTGATATTTGTCTTTCTCTGCTTGGCTTGTTTTGCTTAAGATAATACTTTCCAGGTCCCTCCATGTTGTCTCAAAGGATAAGAGATCTTTCTTTCTTACAGCTGCATAGTACTCCATTGTGTATATGTACCACAGCTTTTTTATCCATTTGTCTACTGATGGACACTTGGGCTGTTTCTAGATCTTAGCTATTGTAAATAGTGCTGCTACAATTATGGGGGTACATATATTTTTTCTGATTGGTGTTCCAGGCTTCTTAGGGTATATTCCTAGAAGTGGGATCACTGGGTCAAATGGAAGTTCAGTTTTTAATTTTTTGAGAAAACACCATATTGTTTTTCATAGTGGCTGTACCAGTCTGCATTTTCACCAGCAGTGTACTAGAGTCCCCTTTTCTCCATGCCCTCGCCAACACTTGTTTGACGATTTGTTGATGGCGGCCATTCTGACAGGTGTGAGGTGATATCTAATTGTTGTTTTAATTTACATCTCTCTGATGATTAGTGATGATGAGCATTTCTTCATATGTCTCTTAGCCATTTGTATGTCCTATTTGGAGAGGTGTCTATTAAATGGGTTCCTCTGCCCATTTTTTAATTGAGTTCTTTGTCTTCCACAGTATTATTTTTAAATATAAATTTTATCCAGTCAACTACAGTCAATTCATATTAGCATATCGAATGAAATAGAGAATTAAAATTAATATGTCCTATCATTGCATTTCATTTTATTAATCTTCAGAGAAGTTCGGTTTTTCAGAAGTTAGTCATGAACCCATGTTGTGTAAATTGACTAGTCACAAATAACTACTTCAGTCTATACTTTAAATTTGATGCTGATCAAAGCTTAATATCAGTTAAGGATTTTGATTTTAAAAATATATAAAGTACTTAAATTTCTTTAAAGTTTACTCAACTAAAGTATTTCTTATTTTGTATGTCACAACATTTTCATTTTTATTTCTTCTTTATAAAAGAAACTGATAGGGGAAACAGTAATTCCATAATTTCCTCTTTAGTTCTGGATTGCATAAAAGTAGATACTTTTCAAAGGAATCACAGGGTCCTTGTTTCTTCCATTAGGGAAGATACATGCTAATAAAAACTATTTTGATTATCAAACAAGGGGAAAGCATAAGAGTTCCACTTTTATTTTTTATTTTTTATTATTATTATTTTTTTATTATTATTATTTTTTATCCTCACCCGAGGATACTTTTCCATTTTTTGTACAGATAGAGTGGGAGGGAGAGAGAGGAAGGGAGAGAGAGAGAGAAACATCGATGTGAAGGGACACATCGAGTGGCTGCCACCCGCACGACCAACCAGGGCCGGGGACAAACTGCAACCGAAGTACGTGCCCTTAGCGGGAACCAAACCCGGGTCTCTCCAGACCGCAGGCCGACGCTCTAACCGCTGAGCCAAACTGGCCAGGGCATAAGAGTTCCACTTTTAAATGTATTCTCCCCATACAGGCAACTAAGATCTTGAGAGTGTTCACTTTGAGGTATGAAATACTGAGTGCAATTTTGCATTTTCAAAATTTCTTTCTCAGCATATAAAGAAATTAAATACTACTAAGTTTTAGTATAAACCAGTATTACAAAATGGTGGGATTCACTCAAGAACTAATTGGATTGCTTAAAAATCACTGATAACTTTGGAGAAGCTCTGTGATAATAACAGCATTCTAAGAAAGGGAAAGATAATAAATTACTAATTAGTTTAATTAAAAATGGTCAGATTAGTAGTAATTATGAAGAAATTACTCTTTCAATCCATGCTGTCTTTGGAGAAATGGATGCTTTGCCATTATCTTTTATAACTGTCAGTTATGACATATATTAATGCTAATGTTAAATCTTGACAACTTCTGCTTTGGAAGTTTGTACATGATAATTATAACTATAGTTGAAAGAGATGTTATCAAGTTCTCTGGGACTAAATAATTTCTCTTTTCCTATGTAGGAATATTAATTTTACTTTGGGATATTTTAAGCACATAAATATCAGAAATATATTGTTTTTATGTAAGAGATTGTATAATCAGACTTTAATAGTTAAATACATTTATGAAACACTGGTGCAAAAATTCCAATAGAGGTCTTACATATTCTAATGAGTAATTGAATAATTATGGGAAAAATGAATCTAGAAGGCCTATAATTCTTCACGTTAGTCTTCACTAGTAAGAAAAATATGTAACTGCTTTTTTTAATCCTTTGAATATTAATAGAGCATTGAAAGTATTTAGATTTATTTAATTTTAAACATTTATTTATAACAGATTGCAATTTTGTGACTTTCATATATGTCAGTCTTTTGTTTTTGTAATTCTTTTTCCCCACCAAATACGAGAGCTGACTTTTGAGTAGGAGATGCTCCTTTTTGTAAAGAGGTTAATTGACTGATTACTGAAAAGAAGTAGGAAAGATTTGGAAGAATTTACAGAGTTAAACATTTCCTAACTTTTGTAGAGGTCATGAAAACTTTTAAAACTATAATAAGCCTTTGTATCTCATAGATCAGGTGATTGTGAAATATATATTCCAAGCTGTTTGCTAAATATCTGATTTTCATATTGCTAGTCTTTTATTCTTTAGAATTTCTTGAATATTAAAATGTCACTTTGGTTCTCATTTGGAATAATTTGGCATATAAATAACCTGCATTATTTCCTGAATATATAGTAATTTTCAAATTCTGTGTGTTTTCTTCTTAAGTCACATAAGCAATGTAGTAGTTACTAAAATATACCTATAAACATCATATCTCTATAGAGAATATATTTAAGGATCGATATATTCTGTCTTTCTCCACTGGTTTGGAGCCACTTCTTAATAGATCTGCTATCTTCCTCTTTCTTGGTTTATTCCCTTATTTAAATGGAGTCCATCTTCAAGA